ATATTATAGTGAAATGTCATAATATGAACATTTAGCTTTTTTAAATTTATAAACTTTCACAGATCTCCACACTCCAAACCTAAACACATTCCCACAGCCACGGCAACAATCCATTTTAGTACATTTTTTGTTTAAACCAAACTGAGGTGGTTCAAAAAGATATCTGCAACAGGTGAGATATTCATTATTCATAACGTTTTCACTGAATTCCACTTTTTAAGAATCCAAGCTGCCCCTTTTAAGCCCGGACAGAACAATGTTGCAAATATTAATGGCTCCTGTTCTGTGTGACCCCAACATAAATTACCCTCTCTCCGTTGGGGCTTTCACTTTAGCACCAATTTACTTTCCCCCTCAAACTCTTCTGTCAGCTCATCCTTCACTCTGAGTGGGTTCATGATCTGCGAGCCCGGCGTCACTTGTTGACATCTGAGAATGCAGTATGTGTTTATAGTTGTGCAGTCTTCAGGGGGGCGGAATAAGGGGGGAAAAAAAAGAAGACTGCCAGCTCTGATTTTAACCAACTGGATGAGTTTTGTGTCTCTCACTCACATAAACGTCATTCATATTTCTTTAAAGTTTCTTTTAAAAATTTTTTAAAAGGGTGAATACATTCCTGCCTCTACAGGAATTTCGTAACCACACCTATTTGAAAAGTAATGTACAATGAGGCCTCAGTGAACATGCCTGCCTGCACATCCCTTTATATTAGACGGCTCCGCCCTCACAACAGGCCACAGCAGCCACAAAAACTCAATTTAGAGGATTCCTCCTTCGTGTTTTCTCTCCCCGCTGGTATTCAAGAAGCTTTCTCAAGCCATTGTATTTTTCATATCATGTCACCAGTGAGCAAAAACATTTCCCTGGAGCCGGAAACGGTACACTGGCGAAGGCTAACAACAAATCCAGACCAGCTTTGCAAAGTGTTTTGCCAGACTGGATCCTGTAGTGTATAAGTGCAGGCCTCCAAATTGTTTATAGTGAGACAAAATGTCCTTTTTTGGGGGGGGTTGGCTTATTTAATGAAGAAATTATGTCCTGATTATATTTTGTAATCCTTCAAAACACACAGTAGCTTCTGTAAATTACTTAAAATAAGAGAGTTTGAGGACAAAAATCCAGCGAAACATGGAAACTGTTAGGTTTTCTCATCGAATTTGTGTGCTTTGTAAGTTAAAAATACGAGAGAAACTGCAGGCAATTTGCAGTAACCACTGAAAGTGAGGGTTTTAGACAATGCTGAGCAAATACACAAACAAACTCCACGCGTGAGCTGCCGAGGCATAAACAGCATATAAACAGGTATGACCAGTCCTATCAGTTAAAGCCTGACTCATCACTCATAATTCTATATCGGATCAACGTGGTGGCGAGTTTCTACACAACAGTATTCATTTGAAAGTCAAACATGTCACCTAACAACCTCATCTGATGCACAGTATATGCAAATCCAACGGTGATATGACAATAGGTCTGAAACCCGGTGCTGGACTTAATCAGATAAGACAAACAAACATGTCTGCTTACGCTCTGTTGCTCTTGGTTCCACACCAAACAAATCCCGCCGCTCCTGTTCTAAACGGGATAAATTCTCAGTATCATTAAAGTCTCACTTTGTTCTGACGGATGGCCAAGGATGAGATCACCTTTTTCGTCTCCTGCTCACAGGTCAAGTCTGAGAGAATTACTCATGCGCCGGGTTAGCCGCTTCGCGCCGCAGCGATGCGTCAGCTTGTTAACTCCGAGGCTCATCTTGATAAAACAATTACCTCGTCAAGCAGAGATGAGGCCCCCGGCGCGTTAGCGGCTGACACTGGACGGAGCCGGGTCGTCAAAGACTCATCTCGTTTTCCTGAAGACACTTTGATTGTCATAATTGCTCCACTCTGAAACACATTAGTCACATCTGCAGTCGATTGGCAGCAATAAAAGTGCCAGAGAGCATTCTGCAGTTTGTTCGGATGGTCATGGAAGATTAATCGGCTCAGACGTTTAACATCTACCTCTGGCCTTTGCCTCTGAGGACATAAATATATAGATACCGATAGGGAGAAGGGGCACTGGTGTTTTCTAAGGAGAGAAATGGAAAGACGCGAGGACAAACGCTGCTGTTTTCCAGCAAACAGAGATGAGCTGTAACACAGAGGATAAAGAGGAACCCCAGAGGACAATCCAGCAGAAGGAGAACTCATTCCAAAACAGACATAAAAAAGTGCAGATGAGTTGCAAAGACAACTCAACTGGCTCCCACACATCCTCAACATGTCTGGCCCTTTACAACAGTAAACCGCGGGGCGATGTGTCCCTGCACGCTTCTGTACGTAAAGACCAAGGCCGGTTTAAAGTTTGAGGCCCAAAACAAACAGAGACAAGCCTCAATTCACAAACACACAAGGGTTGAGCACAGAATAGGAAGGGCTTTGTACAAAGTAGGATTAAAAAGTTATAGGATGTATGTAAAAAAAAAAAATCACAAAGCAGCACACCTGATGTTCGCCGTCAGCCATATGTCATCTGCTGAGCCCGTGAGGTAAAGAAGACATTTCCAGAAAGTCGGCATCTTCAAAGCGAAACATCAAAATGAACTGTTGAGCCGAAGATGGCCGGCGTCTGTCAAAGCCATCCTGAGACACTATGTATGCATCGGCGCATGCAGCACGCAGTCACGGTCCGATCCTCGCCCATCAACAGGCCTCTTGTTTCCACTCAAAGATCGCATTATCTCAAATGACACAATAAAATTGATGTTTTTCATGAAATAATTGGGCCAGTGGCCGTGGTGCTGCTGAGCCGGCAATAATGTAATTACAGCAGCATGACACCCGTGCCCCCCTACCCCCCCATTCCTTTCCCTGCCATGCCAGAGGGAGATGCTCAACAGAATGTCACAGCCTATAGAAGATGACCTAAAGAAGTGACAAAATGGGCATGAGGGCCGTCTGTGGTTAACACTTATGAATGAAACCAGCAGATGGGGGGTGGGGGGTTTCTTTTCCACTTTCTTGGATCTTGACCAAACTGAAGTGGCTGCAGCAGAAAAAATGAGAATGAAAAGCTTCTTTGTGCTGGAAAAAAGCAGTTATCTTCCTACTCTGTAGCATTTGTTCTTATGTCTATCTATCTATCTATCTATCTATCTATCTATCTATCTATCTATCTATCTATCTATCTATCTA